TAAATATATATATAATGAGAGGGGAACAGAACTATGTTCTCATATCTGTATGTTAAGAATTAAGGTTGCAGATGGACATTGGGCCTCGACTCAAGTACTCCCTCAACACAAGAACACTTTGTTCTAATATTCCGGCATTCTGTGATGCTCACCTTCCTGACACAATCGCTGAAGACAAAATGGGCGCATAAGCAAATGTGAAGAAAGCTGATAGTGCCCAGTTATCAAAAGATATAGCATCTGGGGTCTGAAAAGCTTGAAGGTAAACAAGTGGTCATCTAGCTGAGAAGCAACAAAGCCCACATGGAAGAAGCACACCAGCCTGTGGGATCATGCGGTGTCGATGGGATCAGATATCAGGCATCTAAGACCCAGAACAAAATCGTACCCAAGGTGAACGGAAGGGTGGGGGGCAGGGGCATGGAGTGGAGACCCAGTGCCTACCTGTACACAATTGGATATCCCCCTAAGAGGGGTCACTGGGAAGAGATGAGCCAGTCAGGGTGCAGTATAGCACTGATGAAACACACAACTTTCCTCTAGTTCTTTGGTGCTTCCTTCCCCCCACTAGCATGACCTCAATTCTACCTTACAAATCCGATTAGACCAGAGCATGCACAGTGCTACAGATAAGAGCCCACTACACAGGGAATCCAGGATAGATAAACCACCCAGGGCCAACAATGAAAGTAGAGATACCAGGAGGATTAGGGGATGGTGGGGGGAGAAAGGGGGAGTAGATCACAAGGATCAACAAATAACCCCCTCCCGGGGGGATGAATCATGGAAAAGTGGGTGAGGGGCGATGGAGGACGATGTAAGATATGAAAATAATAATATGTAACTGATTAAGGGTTTGTGAGGGAGGGCGGGCAGCGGGGTAGGGGGAAGAAATGGGGAGCAGATATTAGGGACGCAAGTGGGAAGAGAATGCTTTGAAAATAATGATGGTGGCATATGTGCAAATGTGCTTGACACACTGGATGAATATATGGATTGTGATAAGAGATTTAAGAGCCCCCAATAAAAGTATTTTAAAAGAAAGAAAGAAGTCCAGTGTCCACTCAGTGTCACTACTTTAAAATCGGGAGAGTGAATGCCACCCACAAGTTCATGCAGTTTTACGGGACCCCAACGCTAGCACTCTGAAGCCGGGCGTAGTAGTCTTCAAATTCAGAAAGGAAAACAGGGAGGAGCAGCCCAATGGGCCCTGAGAAGAGCCCTGGGTGGCATCAGCGGTAAGCACTCTTGGCTGCTGGTGGGGGGTACAGGTGGCAGGTTAGGGTTCACCCAAGGCACCACGGGGGAAAGGCCTGGTGATTTGTTTTGACAAATCAGCCTTTGACACCCCGTGGAGTGCGGTTCCACCCTGTGGCACAGTGAGGCCAACTCCAGGCAGTGGGGCTGGTTAAATCCTGAGAAAGAGGCCTAGTACCTTGCCCTCCACCAGGGAAGCATATGGCAAAACCACCATCACTGAAACGGCGTGGCACCAGCACAGAAACCAGAGGAGATTCTGCAACCGGCACAAGCCGAGAGCACCTCTGGACTGAGCACAAGTGGACCTGTGGTGCCCTGCGGCCTGTAGACAGCTACATCGTCACTGGAAAAAGGACAAGGTCCTGGCCCACCATGGTGCAGTGGACAGACACATGGCCGGCCCTTCTAGTCAGGGACACACAGCAAGTGGGGGTCCCTTTAACCACAGAAACACTCCCAGGAGAAACGCCAAACGGCAGCAGATGCCAGCTGAGGGCACTGATGACTTCTCTCGGTTGGCGGGCGGCATCCTCCACAGCCCACTGGAAAATGGTAGGCACAAAAGATATGCACACAACCATAAGTAGGCCCATTAGCCGCCCCTCCTGATGTCACTGTGTGGAGAGGAACAGGTCTGTGTTGGAAGAAGTCAGGGCAGAGCGCAGGCACATGGGGGGCGGGCGCACGGTAGCCAGGCGTGACCCACTGTTGAATCTCAAGATGCATTAATCACAAACACTTGAGATGTAGCATTTATCATGGCAACCAAAAAAAAGAAAGGAAATACATCTTGCCATCTCAACCCAAAATGGTCCTGGGGCCGTACTGGGTTCAGAGTTGGGCTCTTAACCACAAGGTCAGCAGTTGGAAACCCGTTACTGCTCCGAGGGAGAAAGACAAGGCTTTCTACTCCCATAAACCGTTCCAGGCTTGGAACCTGTCCCACGGGGCAGTTCTACCCTGAGTCAGCTTCAACTGGACGGCAGAGTGTTGGTGTGGGGCTTTTGTGTTATAGACCAAGCCCCCACCCTGGCTCTCTGAAGCAATCTGGGCATCTTATCAGCTCTGAGCAATTCGCTTACAGCTCCTTGTTTACACAGGCCCTCGACTCTCCTCCAATCAGCCTAAAAGTCAATGCAATTCTGGCCAAAATGAACCCTGAGGGCCCGTGCAATGCACCAGTGCATGGAGGGCCCGTGCAATGCACCAGTGCATGGAGGGCCGTGAAAGAGCAGAGAACAGAGTATCAGACTGGGGCGGGCAGGGCGGGACCGGGCTCACCGGAAGAGACAGACAACAACATACAAAATGCTCGCTAAGAGTGGATTCTGACTCTCAGCTGCCCCTGTGGGGTTCCCAGACTGCAACTCTGCAAGATTAGAAAGCTGCGTCTCCAAGGTGGGTTTGAACTGCCAACCTCTGTTAGCAGCAGAGCACTTAAACCACTGAGCCACCAGGGAGGGCTGTGTTGTCGACACTGAAGAGGCATCTCAGACCTACCTCACAAATGCTGCTCAGAAGGGCAGCCGGCCGGCAGAAAGACTTCATCTTGCCTACACTGGACGTGACAGGGAACCAGTCCCCGGAGGAGGGAATCTGGCTGGGCAAAGCGGAGGGCCCCGGAGACAGGGAAGGCCCTCCAGGAGAGGGATGGAAACCGTGTCTGCAACCGTGGGCTCAGGCGCCACGTGGCCCACGGTGTTTCCCGCTGCCGTGGATGGGTGGGCGGCTGTGAGTGGGAACGGGCAAAGGCACCCCTCACACCACACTCAAAGGCAGCCACGTGCTTCAAAGACGCCGAAGGAAGCATCTCTGGTCACAGATCAGCCTCCACCCCTCCGTTCCCCGCCTGCACACCCAGCAGAGCCCGCTGCACCAGGGCTTCAAGGCTGGGTGCCAGCCTTGCTTCCAAGGTGCCTGTGGGAGACCTTGACCTCCCTCCGACCCGCCGAGGAGCACGGGTGTTCACTGGGTACGCCACCGGGCCTCCGGCTTTATTTCCCGAGCGTGGTAGTAGGAGGAGAGCAGACCTACTTTGAAGGCCGGTGGGTAATTCTTAAAGATCTCCACCATGCGCAAGATGCTGAAGGACAGGTACCCGGACGCCGTGAAGAGCAGCGGGGACGTGATGCTGGTGATGGCGAGCAGCACCTCCACCTGCGGGGACACAGGCAGCCGCTGCCGAGCCGGGGCACACAGTCTGCCCGGGTGTCCTCAGCCCGTGGACTTAAAGCCATGAGCTCCGGAGTCCCGTCTCGCTGGGTGGGAGGCCTCCCAGCTCCTGGGCCCGTGGTCACCTGCGAGACCACAAAGCGGGGCCAGGCCTACGCAGACTGAGGCCACACCGGCCCAGTGCCCCTCTGCATCACCGCCCCTGCCCAGCAGGGGTCCACCTGCCAGGTCTGAGCGCCTGCTGCTCAGCTCACGTTGGCTCGTTCAGGGCCTCTTCCAGTGTCCACCCCAAAGGAATCACTTCTGCTCACTGTCCACCACCAGGCAACGAGGCACCCCCAATACACACACACACACACTCACACACATACGGTGCACAGCCATGCACAGACCACCACAGCCATGCCCCACCCTCAGCCCACCTGGCAGCAGCCCCATCACATGAGACCCAAACTCACCAGGCACTTGCTGGGGTACTCGGCTGTCACGTGGCTGGCGATGGCACTGGGGAAACACTGGGCAGGGTGGGGGGGGGAGTTTTGTGTGGACGTCCTGGAAGAAGTCACCGCACTCCAGCCAGCGCGGCTGCAGCTGCCCCACCTGGGCCTCACCCTGCACAGTACAGCCTGACAGGGCTATGAACCCTGAGTGTGCCCATGGGAACAGGAGCTAGGGTTCTCACTTAGCCTGACTTTAGGGCAAAAAGCAAGAGCCTCCCTGGGGGTGCAGCCACCCTTTCATGCTGGGCTACTAACTGCAAGGTCAGTGGTTTGAACCCACCTATTGACCCATGGGAGAAAGATGAAGCTCTCTGCTCTCATAGGATTTACAGCCTCGGGAACCCTGGAACCGGCTCTATCCGCCCTACTATGACCGAAAAAGCAGTAGGAAATAACCTGACGGCAGGGTCAGCAGCTCAAAACCACCAGCTGACCCTCGGGAGAAAGACGGGCTTTCTACTCCAGTACAGACTGAGAGTCTCAGAAGCCCACGGGGGCAGTTCTGTCCTGTCCTACAGGGTTGTGGTGAGTCAGAACCAATTCGACAGCAGTGACTCGGGTTTGGGTTTGGGTTTTTTGAAGCAGTTGGTTCTATCGTCAAAAACCCAAACCCCACTGCCATCGAGTTGACTCCACTCATAGTGACCCTGTAGAAAAGGGCAGCTGGTGGATTCAAATCGCTGACTGTGGCAGCTACATCATCTCCTGTCAACTTGAGCAAAGGGGTGGAGTCTAGCCTGTCCATCAGGTCATAGCCAATGAGGCCTCTGTGTGGGCTTGGCCTTCTCCTGAGGATTCTGGAACTCCTGTCTTCCTCCCTGGAGGCAGAACATACTCTCTGCTTCCTCTTCCTGCTCACAAGCCAGATGGAGCTATGCTGATGGCAGCCAGAGCCCTGGAGCT